CGTCCGGCCGCAGAGCCCACCTCCCCGGCCCTCTCTCGGCGCTTCCATTGGTCGTTTGCGTTCTAACCGGCGCCCGCTCCGCCCCCCTCCCTCCCGGATGAAAAAAAGGGTTGGGGGTGGGAGGCCAGAGCGGGGAGGCGGGTGAGCGGTCCTACTGGTAAGGGGGCGCGAGACAGCCAATCAGGACAAGACGTCGAAGAGTGGCGCCGCGCCAGCCAGTCACATCCTGCGGTCCGGGTCGGGGGGCCGGCTGACGCGAGTGCGGGTCGCAGCCAATGGGCGTGCCGCTACCCGTCCGCTCTTCAAGCAGCCGCTCGGGGGTGGTGGAAGAGCCAGTGAGGAGAGCACGACGGCGGCGGAGCCATCGGTGGACGACCCGGGGGAAAGCGAGGCCCAAGCCTGTGCATCGAGGTGAGAGGCAGGACGCCGGGTGGGAGAAGCCGGGTGCGGGCCCCTCCTCGCCTGGCTCGGGTCGCAGCTGCGGGCGCCGGGATGGCAGGCCGGGCCCAGTCGGGGGTTACACCCGGCGCCCCGCCCACGTCCTCGCCCCCGGCTGGGGGGGGTGCCAGCTTCGGACCGGATGGTCTCTGGTTGGGGCGCGCCGCTGCCCTCCGGAGGGCGGGGACCGCTTGCAGGGATGTAGGGAGGAGCCTGGTTTGCTGCTGCGGAGCCTGGGGGCGCCTCCCGGGGTGGGGAGGCCGGGAAGAGGTGGCGAAGGCGGGGCGGGGTAGCTAACGGAGGAGCGGGCTGGTGTGCACCAGAAGCCCGTGATTGAAGGATTCCAGGTCTGGGGAGGAAGAAAGTGATGAGAAAAGGTTGATGCTCAGAAAAGGGTGCCGGAGGAGACGGCGCGGAGCGGTGCGGTGTGGTTGGCCTCTGGTAAGTAGGCATGGATAGAGGGTGGGGGGAGTCAGCTGGGAGTGCAGGGAGGGCAGGCTTGGGTTTTGAAGGTTAAGCGATGTGGACCATTGGGGACACGTGGATCTGGAGTCAGAGGCACCTACTGAAACCGGAAGGTGACTGAGAGGAGAACGTTTTATTTTTTTTTATTTTTTATTTTTTTAGGTGAGATGTGGATAGAGGCTCCTTAACTAGAGAGCGCTAGGTGGCCAGTTAGGGGAAAGTATACGAGGGGCAAACAGGGTAGGTTTATGCGTGGTAGCTGAAGGGTGTGGACCTTTTGAGTGAGTAATAAATAATAACTCGGTTTTGGCAGCGACGGGAGAGCCAGATGTCTCAGGAAGGAGTCAGTCCGCCAAGTTCATAGGTTCATTCGCTGTGCTGCATCGAGGCCTAAACACCCAGACTTGACAACTCTCGCTGCTGAGGCTGATCCATCTTCCTCCCCTCAGTTCATCTGACTTGCTTTGCTTCAGCAGCCCACACGCTCGCGCACTCTCAGAATTAATGGCACAAGTGTTTGCTTTTGCTTGGATGGCAGTGAAGAATCGCTTGATTCTTTACATGAAAAAAAAAGTATGCGTTGGTTTAAACGCATTGTCAGAAGATACTCTTAGAAAATCTGCCCTGTAGGGGAGTTACTCAACTATCTTGCTGGGCATGAGTAATATTAGCATAAAAATGATGCAGGAGTTCTTACGGTAACACAAGTGAGAGTTAACATGTAAGTACAATCCTGCTATGCTACAGCATCAACTATTTTGATGTAGTAGAATTTCGTTATGTATATCATGCTTGCTGGGAAAATTTTCAGCCTTGGGAAGATTTATAGCTAAATAGGTTCAAAGTTCCTTTCGTTTAAGAGGAAAAGACAGACATGGTACATGTGTATCACCGTGTCAAGCTTTTGGATTTTTTATTTGTGGGGTGAGGGCAGAGGTTGGGGTCAGAGAAGAGGTAAGTAGAAAAGAAAGAGTGGCCCGCTACCCAATTTCCAGTGGCATTAAATGGGAGGAGGTGATAGGCACTGAGGTATAATTTCTGCTTGAGGATACCACAAAAAGAATGTGAAGAGTTCAGCACTTTTGACAAACATAAAATAGTATAGGGTCAAGGACAGAAACCAAAGAGGGCATTCATTGTATGTGTAGGATGCTTCCTTATTAACTAGATCAACAAAGCATTATAGCTAATGAGCCATTCTTTGGGATGTAGAAATAATTTTGTGGAAGTAATTTCTTGGTAATGCTACTCATTGATCACATTTTACTCTAAGTATAACAGAATACCCAAGTGCTCACAGGTGCTGAGGCTACTCAGAGCAGAGAAGGAATCTGAGTGGTGTGAAGTTACAGTTACTCAGGGAAGGTTTCTGGGAAGCGGTGAGTTTTGAACCATCCTTTGAATTAGGAGTTGGGATTTGGGTTATTGGAAGACATGAGGATTATAATGAATGACAAATGAAATGGCTTTAAAGGAGGATTGAAGGTTTGAATGAAGATTTAAGGGTGTGGACTTCAACTAAGTTTGTTGTAGCTTAGTTGATAAATGATGATTCTGTATTATGGTAAGAGAAGAATTAGAATAGTTGATGATTGGAGATAGGTAGTAAAGGAAAGAACATAAAAGTATTTTTTGATAGTTATAAGAGAATATGGTGAAAGTAAGTTGGGTTGTTGAGAGGTAGACTTGGTGTTCAACTATGTATAATAAACATTTTTGTGTCCTGTACTAGATTATGTTGATAATAGTAGTGTAATTTATTGGATTCTACTTTGTGCCAGCCACTGTTTTGAGCTTTCTGAGCATCATCTTTCTTTGATTATCCCTATTTTATAGATGAGGGAACTGAGATTCAGAAAGATTTAATTTGCCCAAGATCACACAGCTAATACGGTCAAGATTGGTGTAGCCAGTCAATAAACATTAATTGAGCATCTGTTTCATGTCAGGCACTGTATTAAATGCTGGAGATTCAAAGTTGATAGCAAATCCAAAGGTCAGGTCTGAGCCATTTTTTTTTTTTTTTTTTTTTTTAGAGATTGTCATGAGTTAACAGAAGAGAGCCAGGGAAGAAAGAGAAAAAGATTAGTTGGAAGGACTTTTGTAGACACTGAGCAATATACTGTTTAGGGAAACTTAGAATTTTAAGAAAGAGGAAGTGGTCAGCAGCAAACTATATATCTGAGAGACTCAGAAGAACAAAGATTGAAAAGAAACTATTGAGTTAGGTAAGGGAAAAAGTATTGTGAATTTAGTCTCAAGAAAGCCAGAATGAAGATATTAAAATACAGGCCAATAGTTAATCATGTTTAATGGCAAATGCTCTAGTCTATACAAATGTAAAATTTGGTATGATCACAGTTATGGTCAACTTCATAGAAAAGATGTTGGCATGTCTCTTTGTAATATTTTAATCTTTGGCTGATAAGATTGTGGGTGGTTTAAAAATGCTTGTACTTTTAGTATTTTTTCAAATAAAAAGATGAGCATTATTTTTGTAATTAGTGGGGGCAAATTATTCAACTGAAATAGGGACTATGTGGGTGGGCTAATGCTAATCTGAATTGTGTTTGGGATCAGAGAAAAAGATGGCCTTTACTTCAGGGCCTACTGCATATGAGCCACTTTGGTAGGCACATTCCCATCTTAGAATGTCTGGGCTGTTAACCAGTGTGAACATCCTGAAACTACATGTTGAAAGATAGCATGTGCTTAATCTGAGGGATCAAGGTGACTAAAGCACCCTGAATCATGAAGATAGGGTTTTGATTCTCCTGAACATTGTTTTCTTTGCATTAAATAAGTGAATTAAAGGTTAAAAAGAAAACAGACCACTAGTACAGTTGAGTTATTTCAACTTGTCTTTTGGCCTTTTATTCTTTCCTCTTCCCACAGTTGGTTCTGTAGTTCCTCTCTTCAGTCCCAGTTCAGTAAGACAATATGAAAGTGCTGAATTTGCATAAAACTGAAACATTTAAAATTTGTCATTGTTTTCTGTTCCCAATTTGAAGAAGAAAAGAGACTGATTTCAAGAAAGTAAGCTTTTCTCATCAAATTTCTCCAAAGGAAACTAGTAGGATTTGCTCTAGGATCCAGTATGGATTTATTCCAATCTCTAAAAGAGAAAGAGAGGAATTTTGTAAGTCAAGAATAGGTTGTAGTTTTTAAAAAAATAGATATTTTTATTGATTTCTGAGAGGAAGGAAGAGGGAGATAGAAACATCAATGATGAGAGAGAATCATCGATTGGCTGCCTCCTGCACACCCCCTACCCGGGGATTGAGCCTGCAACTCAAATGCCCTGACCCAGAATTCAACCATGACCTCCTGGTTTGTAGGTCTATGCTCAACCACTGAGCCACACCGGCTGGGCTAAGTTCTAGTTTTTAAATTTTATTTAGTCCTAGGGATTGTAGGAGAAAACAGTATTTCATCTAGGTATTGTAGTTCTTTTTCTTAAATTATCATGTTTAATTTTCATATAGTTCTCTAAGGTGGCTATCCCATTTTTCAGATGAAGAGAATGGGGCTCAGAGTAGTAATTTTCCAAAGTTTGAAAAGATAAGTGACAGAGCTGAGAGTCAAACCTTGCTTTGTGAAAAAAACTCCAGAACTCATGCATATGAGACAGTGGCAAGAAGAACTTGTTTACTTGAATACCTGCAATTGAAGGGAATGGCACATAGCCTTAGGTATTTAGTGACTCTTTTGTTACCCTTAGAAGGGATTCTTGCTCTGTGTGTTTGTGCTTTGTGACAGTGGCTCTTAAATGATAGTAATTTTTGTGTCTTATAGAGTGCATTATACTACATTTAGAGGTGTGCTCACATTTTAGTATTTTTTGAAATGAAGATGTATTCACATTGCTATATTTATTTTAAGATGTTTATGAAATGGATACTATGTCTTAAAATTTAATGTGTCTCAGAATTGAGGTAGTGTGGTATATGCATATAGTCTTCATGTATAACTGTCTTAGCAATTTGTTGTGTGCAATTTCTTCCCAACCTCCTCTCTTTACTTAACCAATTACTTTTTTTTTTTCAGTATGGCACAATATAGAACTGAAGTATATATTAATAATAAAATAGTCATTCTCCTTAGCTAGTGAATATTATAGTATAGAAAAATCCTGTGATGTAGAAAATCATATTGCACTGTGAATCAGCAGATCTGAGTTTTAATTTTGGTTTTGCTAGTAACTTGATTTATGACTTGAGGCAAGTCACTTCCCCTCTCTGAACTTTAGTTTCCTCATCTGTAAATTGGAGTGGGGTGGGGAACTTTCAGACCTGTCTATCTTGAACAAACTGTGTGCCCTCTTTCTTTTTTTAATCCTCACCCTGAGGATATTTTTCCAATGATTTTTAGAGAGAGTGGATAAGAGAGGGAAAGACTGAGAGAAATATCAATGTGAGAGAAACACATCGATTGGTTGCCTTCTGCACGAGCCCCGACCAGGGCCTGGGCTGGGGAGGAGCCTGCAACCGATGTACGTGCCCTTGACCAGAATCGAACCTGGGACCCTCAGTCTGTAGGCCGAGGCTCTATTATCCACTGAGCCAAACTGGCTAGGGCTGCCCTCTTTCTAATAAAAAATGTGGATGCTATAAATCCCTTTCTTAAAAACTGTATTTATTGCTTTTGACTATTTCTTCTTTCTCTTCATCTCCCTGTCTTCCCTCCTGCCCATCTTCCCCCATGGATCTTTGAGGGTACTGTTAGATTTTTAACTTATTAGAGAGGGTGAGTTATTTTTGATATCCTGCATTTACCAGGACAGGATATCTGAGAAAATAGGTGCCTATTAAATAGTTAATGAATGAATAAATGTATTTTATCTGAATTAATAAGAGAATCATTTAAATAGAATACCATCTGAAAACTTTTGAACTTTCATTGAAAGATAATTCTGCCTAAAGAATGAAATGTGAGACATAGAACCATGGAACAGACTGTGGAATCTCAGAGGGAAGGCAGGTCGGGGGGAGGGGTGGTGGGAAGAGATCAACCAAAGAACTTGTATGCATATATGCATACTCCGTGGACACAGACAATAGGATGGTGAAGGCCAGGGGTAGGGGCTGGCTAGAAGGGGTCAGTGGGGGAAAAAGGAGACATAAGTAATACTTTCAACAATAAAGATTAAAATAAAGAGAATGAAATGTGTTTTGTAAAGTAAATTTATCTGCTCTCTATTGGTCAGGTGCACACAGAAGAAAACTACTGGGCCTGTCTGTAAGAAGCTCTCTCTTCTAGTAGAAGAGGCAAACTTTTAAAAACTTTGTATTATGGAAAATTGCCAACATAAAAATACAATAATATGCATATCAGTAACCTTAACAATTTTCAACTTGTGGTCAATCTTGTTTTATCTGTACCTCCATCCACTTCCCCATTATTTTATTTTGAAGCAAATTCCTAGACATTTTTACCAGTGTTTACCAGATACTATGATAAGTATGACAATAGACATGCTAATAAAGTGAAGTGGAATTTTAAAAAAAATATATTTTATTTTATTATTATTATTATTTTTTAAAATATATTTTATTGATTTCTACAGAGAGGAAGGGAGAGGGATAGAGAATTAGAAACATCGATCAGCTGCCTCCTGCACACCCCTACTGGGGATGTACCCGCAACCAAGGTACATGCCCTTGACCAGAATCAAACCTGGGACCCTTCAGTCTGCAGGCCGACACTCTATTCACTGAGCCAAACCAGTTAGGGCTGGAATTTTTTTATATATATCACATGGAGACTATAGATTATATTGTGCTGGGCAAAAGAAATTAGATATAATAATCTGTAGAGCAGGAATAATGTAATTGGGGAGACTGAGTGTGCATATATAAAATAGAATGTAGTGGGATCATATGTCAGAATTGGTTATAGAGATTCTAAGTGGGAAATGACATTATTTCTGAATCAAAGTAGGATTTAGACAGGGAGAAAGAACATTAAGTGGAGAAGGTGAGGGTGATCACATGGAGAAAACAAGTAGAAAAATGTAATTTTTTTTAAGAATAAGTTTTATATAAATCTGTATCTCTCTATATCTTTTAGACTCCTGTAAGATGTTATTGACATACTGTAGATCTTACATCAATACTTGAAAGAAGCCAATTGCTTTATTACAAATTAGGACACACTACTTTGTGAATGTCCATGGTGAATTATTTGACACATTCCATTAAAAAGCCTTCTGAATATCTTAGTACCACATGCATTAATGGATCCATTTTGTCTAGAATGTTTGTGTGTGTGTGTGAGTGTGTGATCAGCTTTGAAGTATGTCATTTTGAGGTTTTAAATAGTGGCAGGTGTGTGTGTGTGTGTGTGTGTGTTTAATTTAAATGTTAACCATTTGACAGTTTTAGAATTACTTTGAAATATCTAGTTTATCTATTTTATGCAATTCTTACTAGGCACATGAGCAATCCTTCTTGAATTTAAGGAATCTTACCATTTTATCTTATTATTTTGGAGTATTGTCTTAAATATTTAGAAATATTAATTGGAAATAAAATCTTTTTAAAAAATATATTTTTATTGATTTCATAGAGGAAAGGAGAGGGAGAGAGAGAGATAGAAACATCAATGATGAGAGAGAATCATTGATTGGCGGTCTCCTGCATGCCCGCTACGTGGGATCAAGCCCGCAACCTGGGCATGTGCCCTTGACCAGAATCAAACCTGGGACCCTTCAATTTGCAGGCCGGTGCTCTATCCACTGAGCCAAACTGGCTAAGGCTGGAAATAAAATCTTAAAATATATTCATAATGCAGAGATTCGTAGTCAGAGGTCATGAACCTGTTTGAGTATCTCCTTAAAGCTTTGTGCTATCTCCTCAGAAAATATACATTTAGTTTTTCATATAATTTCAGGGGGTTAATAAGACTCTCAGAACCTACTCAAATATCCTTGGGGGCCTATGGATTCTGGTTTAATAAGCCATTCTTTTTTTAAAAAATATATTTTATTGATTTTTTACAGTGAGGGAGAGGGATAGAGAGTTAGAAACATCGATGAGAGAGGAACATCGATCAGCTGCCTCCTGCACACCCCCCACTGGGGATATGCCCACAGCCAAGGCACATGCCCTTGACTGGAATCAAACCCGGGACCCTTTGGTCCGCAGGCCGACGCTCTATCCACTGAGCCAAACCGGTCAGGGCTAATAAGCCATTCTTTAATGTATAGGCAGAAAGCCTACTGTTAAAATTCAACTCAAATTTATTTCTGTGTACTCTTCACCTTTTACAAGCAGTCTTTTTTTTATTATTAAGTGATAAAATTATAAAGCTCATTATGCAAATGTTATTTTAAAAAAATACACCACTTCTTAATTGGATTCTTGGGTGAAAGCAAGCTATAGCTGGTTTAATAAGTATGTAGGAATGGTTTTACCAAAGATTTTGGAATAAGTGTATGGTACTTTATATAATGACTGCTATTTATTCTGAATTAACAGGAAGTAGAATATATGATATAAGAATGAATAAATGTATAAATACCATTTTTTTCAGAGACGAAAACATTTCTTTGACTTATCTTGCCCTTACATAGTTAAGATTTGTGGAGGAAAGAATCTATTAAAGTATTTTGAGGTTTACATTTGTGTTAAAATAACTCCTTGGTGTGATACAGGGGTTTAGAGACATATTTTGGCTGATGAAGGATTGATTTTCAGTGGAGTCCAGAGATCTTAACATCCATCTAGTTTCAAGGATGGTCCTAAATAAGTTTCTTAGAAATATGTTGTTTTAAAAACTTGTGGATTGTACCTATAAAATGAAGTCAAAATAATGGTTATTACCATATGCAGAATCTTCAGGAGATAGGAACAGGTGAATTAGCTGCTATTGGGACATTTGACTCTGCAGAGCAGTACATTGATTGAAGATCAGTGAGTATTAGGTGTATTGCTTTAAAGTGATAACCCTTGTGATGTATAAGAGTTAATAATTCACTGAGTATCTAATGTACTATTAGGCAACAACTTATTTTAATACATAGTAATAGATATATATACTTCGAGAGCTTAACCATCAGTGATTTGGCCTCCCCTTCAATGAATTTTACCAATGATCAGAGCAGTTAATTGACATGTCCAAGGTCAGGTGGTTAGTGGCAGTCCCATTAGTGTAGTTATTCATTACCCTACTGATTTTTTTAAGTCTGTTGTGCTTATATATTTTGGCTGTCTTTTCCTTTTGGATCTCAGTTTCTGGAGAAGGAAGTATCTTAACACTAGGGTTTTTAGCATTATGACTTTGATTCTCAATTGATAAATTGATGAATCCCCTGAAGTTTTATACTGTAATGCTTTTACTTTGCTATGCATGTTCTTATCTTTAGCACAATAACCCACCAGGCTTATTGGGGTAGGCTTCTTAGGAGCTTGAATCATTTTCACAGCTGGAAACAGATACTAAGAATCTAAAAAGTTGCCCTGGCTGCTTTGGCTTAGTGGATAGAGCTTTAGCCTGAGGACTGAAGGGTCCCGGGTTCGATTTTGGTCAAGGGCACATGCCAGGGTTGTGGGCTTGATCCTCCAGTAGGGGGCGTGCAGAAGGCAGCCCATCAATGATTCTCATCATTGATGTTTCTAGCTCTTTCTCCCTCTTCCTCTCTGAAATATATATATATTCATCTGTTTCCTCATGTTTTCTATACCTTTCTGGGCTGGTGATCCCTGCCTGACAGCATTTAGTTGAAAGCTGTTATGTGAACCTGCAAAATTTTAACGGTAAGCCAGAAAATGATTTTTGAGAAGAGGGTTTGCTAAGAGATTTAGGCATTTTAAGACATTTCTTGGAAGCTTCTTACTCAGAACTAGAGACCGGAGTCTTATTGACATCCAAGTTCAGGGAAGTTATTACTTCCACGAAAGGCTCTGATTCCAAGTCCTAATGTCACTTTTGGTTGGTATAGACCTGGTAGCCAGGGAAAAGACCTGTCCCTACAATTAGTGACCCTATAGCCAGGGTGAGGACTCTTAGAACAGTGACTCTCAAGCTTTTTTAATCCTGACCCTTTATCTGGGTCATTCTTTAGCTCAATAATTCCCACTTTCTAGTGGAATAATAACAACTAATTGTCAAAGTGCAAGCATTTTGGGGAAAGAGGGATTTTCTTTAGCAATTAGGAATATGGATGGTTGCTCATTGAATCACAAAAAAATACACTACTTGTCTTAAAGCCTAGACTAGTTAGAAAAATGTAGGCCTAAAATCCTAGTAATACACATATATAATACATTCTGAAGTTTGACTAAAACAACTAAAGCCAAAATGACAATAATGAAGTTCAATTAATAGTAATTTTTAATTGAAAAGTAAGAATAATGATAATTGAAAACCATGATCTGCTAAAGACAACACAACTTCACTGGCAGTGAGTGTCCCTTTAGAAAATTAAAGAATTCAAGGCAGTGCCCTTGGTGGTCTCCCAGATCTTTCTCACTTCAACCATGTTTGGGTGGAACAGACCCAGGGATGTCCCTTCTTCCAGTCTCTGACCATCCTCCAACCTCTTTTCCAGTCACCACCTTCCGAACCACCTCAGCCATCCTCAGCCTTTGAGACCAGCCAACACTGTTTTTTTTTGTTGTTCTTGTTTTTAACCTTAGCTCCTTTTACTGACAACCATGAGCTCCCAGATTCGTCAGAATTATTCCACCGAGGTGGAGGCTGAGGTCAACCGCCTGGCCAACCTGCATCTGCAGGCCTTCTATACTTACCTCTCTCTGGGCTTCTATTTCAACCGTGATGATGTGGCTTCCCAGGGTGTGGGCCACTTCTTCCGAGTGTTGGAGGAGAAGAAGTTCAAGGGCGCTGAGCTTCTTTTTAAGATGCAAAACCAGCGAGGTGGCCGCATTGTTCTCCATGATGTGCAGAAGCCTTCCCAGCATGAGTGGGGCACAACTCAGGACGCCATGGAAGCTGCCCTGGCCTTGGAGAAGAACCTGAACCAGGCCCTTTTGAAGCTGCATGCCCTGGGTTCGGCCCATAAAGACCCTCATCTCTCTAACTTCCTGGAGAAACACTTCCTGGATGAGGAGGTGAAACTCATCAAGAAGATGGGCGACCAGCTGACTAACCTCCGCAGGCTGGCCAGCTCCCAGGCTGGGCTGGACAGCCCCCAGGCTGGGCTGGGCGAGTATCTCTTTGAAAGGCTCACCCTCAAGCACCACTCGAAGCCTTTGGAGCCCAAAGGCCTTTGAGGGGCCCGTCTGCATTCTCCTGGTGTCTGGCTTTTACCTGAGCCTCTCCCTGAAACCACTAGCCATTCTTTTAACCATCCTGAAGCCCTCTCCCACGCATTGGACCAAATGGAAACAATAAAAAGCTTTTTGCATCAAAGAAAACGGAAAAAGAAAAATAATTCAATTTTTTGGCCCTGGCCAGGTAGCTCAGTTGGTTAGAGCATCCTTTCAATATGTGAACGTTGAGTGTTGAATCCCTGGTCAAGGCACATACAAGAAACAACCAGTGAATGCGTACATAGATGGAACAACAAATCAATGCTTCTCTCTTTCTCTCCCTTCTTCTCTAAAATCAATCAATAAATAGCCCTAGCCACTTTGGCTCAGTGGATAAAGTATTGGCCTGCGGACCAAAGGGCCCTGGGTTCCATTCTGGTCAAGGGCATGTACCTTGGTTGCAAGCTCTTCTCTGGTCCGGGTCCTGGTCGGGTCTCCTGCAGGAGTCAACCAATTGATATGTTTCTCTCATGTTGATGTTTCTATCTTTCCCTCTCTCTTCCACTCTCCCTAAAAATCAATGGAAAAATATCCTTGGGTGACGATTAAAATCAATCAATAAATAAAAAGTAAAAAATGTTAAAGAATTCAAGCTTTGAGTGTGCATATGTGGTGTAGGAGCTTTGCAGTATTGTGGTTGCAGCAAACAGTTATTGTATGCAAATTAAAATCTTTGGTATATCAGCATGTTCATTTTTGTAACTCTTAATATCTGACTTAAGTCTGTTCATAAGGAGCCTTATGGATCACAGGAAGGTCATGTTTTTTAAATAATGTGTAGTCCCTGGGTAGTCTGGCCCATTTTTGGGTCATTACCTTAGAAGGTAATCCAATGTATTTTGGAATACTATTTCTGAAATGCATTTCACTTTTCTGAGTCTGAAAGTATTAGGATAAAAATTTTATTTCTTAGCATGAAAATATTTTTATTACGGTAAGGAGAGATTATAGTACAGTAGTTTGTCTAAAAAAGAATCGTGTGACTTATGAAATTACTTTTGAAAAATTAGTGTTCCCTAACATGGCATCGATGCTGTGTTTTTGCCAGCAAAGGGACAGTTTATTACAAAACTCTGTGTTAGCAAGAGCACAGCCTTTCTTCAGTAGGCTTCAAAGTAGAGAAGTGACCCTATTGGTACAGGCCTTGAGGACAGAAACATACACAAAGGAAAATGGATATTGCTGAAAAATTTTTTTTCTTGTTAGCAGATCATTTTAATGCTATAGAGTTGACATTTCCTCACTAATGGAGTAGAACTTCTTAAGATGTCTTTGTGTTTGATTTTTACATCACTCAGGAATTCTGAGTGTATATATAATATTTTTCAGAATAATGAGGCCTTAGAGGCATTTTTAACTCTTGCAAAAGTGCCATGCTTAGGGACCAACATCAGTGTACAAAATACTTGTGTAGTGCCATAAGAACTAATGAACCTATTGAGCTTACTTATTATCAAGAAGTACCTTCAACATTGAGGAAAATAGGATGCAGAGAGTTAAGTACTGGTATCAGGGTCTGTGTAGGCAAACAGAGCGGCCATTATATCTACTTCAATGAGGGCTAACAACAGGGTTGTACACTAGCATCTTTTATTGAAAAAGAAATGTTAACCAAGATGCTACAGCTATTCTTTTGTTTGTAAAAAAAATGCCTTATAAGCCTTAATTTAAAAAAAGAAACCCATTATTATTATTAGCAAACTACAGTAAATAGTTTGTACATTTTGAGTTTGCATTTTGCCCCTTTATTTGCTGCTTACACTTTACTTTCAGAGGATGTTTTCTTTTATGTTGCATCTTAATCAAAACACTAAAGATTCTGGAGTTATTAGAACCAATAAACCAATAGTTCCCAATATGCCTCCAGATGGGAGTCTATCACAGATCTTAAAAGAAAGTATATACTTACAAGGTGAGACCTCTTCATAGTCTAACTAAAATTAGTTTGTTTTTCTTTTGTCTAGAAGTGTGTTAACTCCAAGTGGTAACTTACTGGTTACAAGCTCATAATTACATGAACATGGGATGATGACAGTTTTTATTAAGTAAATGAGGTTATTTGGTAGCAAAACATTTCCAACTGTGAGACTCATGGGACCATATTTTTTTTAAAGGCACTTGGGGTGACTAAAAAATGTAGTCAGGAACAACTCATTCCCTAGCCCCATGAAGTAGGTGTAACATGGATTAAATGGTGGACAGTCTCAAGAGTAACAAGCAGTTACTTCACCATGACCTTAGTGGCAGATTATATTTTCTAAAGATGGTTATAACAGTATCTCCCATCTCAGGGTGACTTTAACTCTTCTCTTACCCTGAGGTGGGGTTTATGTCTTCTCTTGAGTTTGGGTGGTCTTTTGAATCATTTGTAACCAATAGAACAAGGCAGAAGTTATACTGTGGGACTTTCAAAGCAGGGTCAGAAAGTAAAAGACTTGAATAGCTTCTACCTAGCTCACTAGAATATTGGTCTTGAAACACTTAGCAGCTTTGTAAGCAGTCTAGCCAGAGATCCTCATAGGGAAACCCAAAAACTACCTCATGTAGAGAGATCATCCAAAGAGGATCTAGGATCAGCTAGAACTGCTTAGTCAAGCCCTTCCCAAATTCTAATGCACAGATATTGTGAGGAAGAATAAAATGATTGTTATTTTAAGACACTGAGTTTTAGAGTGATTTTGGTATATAGTAGTAGATAATCAGAACACTTCGTTTTCTGAATCTGTTACTGTGTACTGAGATTTGACAATATCCAGATGTGCAGTTAGGAATACACCCCAATGATTTGTTCTGGAATCTGAACATAACCTTATTTTGATTTTCTACCTTTTTATATAAACTTTTCTCTACCATTCTTTTCTATACCCATTTGGAAAAGCCATTCCATCTTACGTCTTTAGTAAGAGGGCTTTTTGGTAACTGAAACTCTGTCATGTGTATTTACTGTGTCATGAGAACATATGCATCATCTTTAGAATGCCTTTTGCTCTGTGCCTTCCTTTTAGTTACTAGAATATTTGGCCTTCTGATAGTTCCCTAGGGTTGCTGTAACAAAGTGGGTAGCTAAAAACAACAAATTTATTGTTTCACAGTTTTGGAGGCTAGAAGTAAAAAAATTGATGCTCCCTTTGAAACCTGTAAGGGGATCATTCCTTGCCTCTTCCTACCTTTTTTTGTTGGTAAATTTGGCATTCCTTGTCCTGTAGCTGTATAACTCCAATTTCTGCCTCCAACATGTGCTTTTGTTGTCACATGGAATTCTCCTTGTGCATTTCTTTGTCTTCACATGGCCCATTTATAAGGACACCTACTCTAGTGTGACATCATTTACCTTAACTAATTACAACTTCAAAGCTCCTATTTCCAAATAAAGTCCCATTCTGAGGTACTAGGGCTTAGTATTTCAATATATCTTTTTAGGGGGAACACAGTTCAATCCAAAACAGGCCTCAAGGGAGATTGGTATAATTATGTTTTAACCATTTACACATTTTTACTCCATATTAGATGTGAATGGGGTTTTTAATTAGTGACCACGAGGCTCTGTTCTCTTCATGTTAAGTCTCCCTTTGCTCCATTGTGCATAAATAATACACATAAAATTTGATAGTAATTTTAAACTGTTTAGGATCATTGACCCCTTTGAGGATCTGATAAAAGCAGTGGATTCTTCCCCTAGAAAAAGATAGTGAGGTATGCATGGTGTGCACACTTGTACACACACATATAAATACATGCAAACACAATAATGTTTTGGATGAAACTTTAACATGTTCCTGGACACACACCCTATTTGTTCATGAACTTCTGGATTAGACAGTTATTAATTTCCATTGATTAGAGATTCCTAATCCCCATTTCCCTTTTAGTGGAAAAATATATGGGGGAAGGTGGAAGAGGGAGGAGGCATAGGTATATGTATATAGAATTCCTTCATGGTCAACGCAGTTTTTTTGGGAATTTTCATATTTATGTGCTATTTACCATGTGTCTATATTTCCACCCATACCTCATATCTAATCTTTGTAAATATAAATTTACAGTTTATAAAATTGTAAATAACATACACGTCTGTAGAGAAGAATAATCTAGGTTCTTTTAGACTTGTATTCAGTATATAAACAGACCTTTATATCTTGCCAGAGGGTTGAGTTAGCTTTTGACCTCTTTAAATTCTGTGGTTTGTTTTTTTTTAATTACTGTATCAAGATTTTTTTTTAATAGGGTAGTGGTCTAGGGTTTCTGAGTTTGTGACAGGATTATATTCTGTGCTCTTCTTGATTTGTAACTTTTTCTCCAAAATAATATTTTCCAAGCCTCACCCCTGAAAATCTTATCTTAATGGGCTTTCCTTTGAAAACACAGATTTTTTTTTATACACCTTGAAAAGGCTACAGGTCATGTCTCCATTTTGCGTCTAGTCTGTGGCATATCCATATTTCTGAATCCTGGCATTCACAAATGTTGGTTCATTTTTGAAGCTATTATATCAAACAAGTATTTACTGTTCATTTTACAATGATATACACAGTAACTCTAGTAATACTGAAATCATAGCCAATAAATTTTTAGACTGTACTGGTTTCCTATTGATGCCTTTCTCATTTGTAGTTCATTTTCCAAATATGGAATATTGCAAGTCGTTATTTAGAAAAGGGTTGGCAAATTATATCCTGCAAATTGTCTTTCTGTTCTTCTGAATAAAGTTTTATTGAAATACAGCCATACCCATTTGATTACTTTTTGTCCATGGCTGATTTTGTGCCTCAAATGTCAGAACTGAGTAGTTGTTACTAAGTTTGTATGGCCCACAAAGCTGAATATTTACTACCTTGACCCTTCACAAAAATTTTTGCCAACTTTTGGTTTAGGAGATTTTGGAATTATTTTCTTTTAAGGATATTTGAAGTGTGTTTTTTTTCCTCTTTAACTTTTCAGTAATGGAATCCAAGGAATATTAAAAGACCGTTTAGCTCAACTATCTATTTGCTGCTTGAATTTCCTTCAGATTTGCCAAGTGGTCCTCCAGCTTAGAGGTGTAGGACAGTGAGACAAAACAGCATTAGATGTGGCTGTGTTAAACGAGGAAGAATTGCTCCTGATTTGGAATCAATCAGTGACTCCCAATGAAAAACTAGATGAAATATCTTATTCTTGTCCATTTGCCCTTCCCACTCTCTCCATTGGTAGGTTTTGACTTTGTGTACATGGTGAAGACACAGAGGAACCTGTCTTTGTAAAAATATATATGTTTTTATTGATTTTA